CTCAACATGTCTAGAATGTGAAACAAGAAGAGTTGAGAGCTTATTGGATCCACAAAAGTCATTTCCAATCCAAACTAGGTCATGTACTTGTGTGAGCTTCCATATGGGATGACCTATCTTGCAAGGTATCTCAAAAATAGGAAAAAAGCTCAAAAATTATCAAATAAAATGCACAAACAAGCTAAACAGGTTGGCAGACAGAGGCCACAAGCACAAGCCAAATATCCCCTCAAAGCACCCTCAAAAGAAAAAATCATTAGGAGGTACCCCTTTGAAATGGGAGAAACAAGAGCAAAAAGAAAAGCCACAAAAGTCAACTTAAAAGTCAACAACTAGGGGCAAAATGGTCCTAAGAAATCCCTTAACTCATGATGAACATGAGGATTGATTTTCACTCATTGAACCAAAAAGAAATGAGAGAAACAAGTTAAAGAACAAACAATATCACAATTTATTTCAACTAAAACATTCCCAATATTTAATTCATTTTAAAATGGAAAATAAAATCAAAAAATAAAATAAAAATATTCAAAAAATACTAGACATCTCAAAGTTCACGGAAAATATTTTTGGGGAATTTTTAGGATATTGGAACTATTTTATTTGAATTAAAATGAAACAGCAAACAAAACAGAATTTAAAAGAAAATACTATTAAATGACAAACAAGTGTGACAAATAGCAATAAAAGTGAGTGCAAAACTGGACTGGGCCCAGACTGGGGGTGCGCGTAGCAGCATTCACAAGGCCCACACGAAATTCTCAAAATTCAGAATAATCACATGCAATGAGTCAACATACACACATGGTAGAACCTCACCATACAACACATGATTAAAAGTATTTTAATCCAACAGATCACAACAAGACATGTCAATTAATGAATTAGAGTTACAATCCCATGCAAGCAAGTCCATGAAATAACACGGTAGGTCCTAATCTTCCCCGTCCTCGTGAAAGTAGCTCGATCGGACGAACATCATGATGCCACGTGGGCGTCCTCCCTCTCTCTCCCCTCGTCGGCGTCGGAAAAGCTCCGGTCATCCCTACCGCGAGCTCCGGCCGCCGCGGCTCCTTCCAAGCAACACACATTTTTCAAAACTTCACCGTTTTGGACGTTTCTTATATGGAAATTCATCTACTCGGAATGAGGATCACATATCTATCCTTTGTTTTCATTAATTCCTCACCATTAAAGAGAAAAGCGAACAACAAGCTTGGTGCACAAAAACAAAAGTTCATCAAAACTCAATTAATTTCATCCTAACATCATCCTCATGTTATATAGATCATAGATCCACGAAAATTCAAGCAAAACACCTCAATAATTGATCATACTGAATCAAACAAGTTTGGAGCTCATAAAATCAATCATCACAAACGCAAACAATTATGATCGATAAACGATCTACATGCTTCAAGGATCGCAATGCAATAAAAATGGCGAAGAATCATGGCATATTGAGAGTGTAAGGTTGAATTAAAGTTACCTAATGGAGAACTTCCACTGAGCCTTCAACAGGTGCTAAAGGTTGAAGAAAACGATCCAAACACGTCCAATGATCCTCAATAAAGCTTTTGCAATCCTTAATTGTACTTGAAATGGAGTAAATCTGAGAATTCGAATTTTGAGTTTTCACCACTTTTTCAAAGTTGTTCTTGAGCAATCTCCCTCCAATTTCGAAATCTGAGCATTTGTGAAGGTTGGAAATGTTATATGTGATGGATTTGAATCAAAATGAGGCCCAATTTCATGCCTTGGAGCCCAAACCAAAATTCAAATTTTCTCCACTTTTTGAATATGGAAGTGAACGAAAATGGCATTTGCTTGGCTTCAAAATGGCTCAATTCAACTGCTGGGAGTGTTTGGAGTATGAATGGTCAAGATCCAGCCCTTGTTTTGATCTCAATGGTTGGAATTGAATGTGTGACTTCATGGTGACGTAATCTTGGAAATGGCTCACAAAAACACCTCAAATGCAAATTCTAATATTGCCAATGTTCTTAAAACATGATTTGCACTCAAAAAATGTATCTATTTGCACAAAAATGATTTATCATGAATTAATTCCAATTTTGCCCTTTTAAGCTTTCTTTTATGAAAATTCAAATACCAATTCTTCATTCTAAGCCAAATCCATGACTTCTCAATGTTTGGTTGAACATTTAACACCATTTGAAGCAAGTTTGATGTTGGAAAGATTTCCATTTGAAGTGTGCAAGATAGTGAAATGGACCTATAATTTTATGACTTGTAATCTTACTTTCCCAAAATACTCCTAACTTGTAAACCTCATAACTTGAGTTCTACAAATCAGATGAAAGACTTCTAGTAAAATTTGGAAAGTTAAGATCAATATCTACAACTTTCACGTTGGCCAAAAGTTGAGGAGAAACATCCTTCTAGGTCAAAAATGGCTTGGAAGTTGGTTGACTTTTGTTGACCAAAATCACATCCCTCTGATGACATGTAACTTGTATGGACCATAAATTGAGTTCTATAAATCCAATCAAGGACTACTAGTACTCGAATTAAAGCTAAGAACATGATCCACAAGTTCCATGTTGGTCAAAAGTTGATATGAAACTTGTATCTTGAGATAGGTGGTCTTGAAGTCAGGCACTAAATAGGGGATTTTACCCTGAGAACCCTAATTTAGTAACTTCTCACACACTTAACCCTTGATGAATTGAACTTGAAATGATGTCTCATATGTCTTAACACAACATCCCATGACCATAGAGACTTTGAATTGAGTTTTAATCTCCTTCAATTGCACAGTTGATTGAGGATTAGCCAGATGAAAACCCTAAGTGCATCAACTTCAACTACAACCCTTCACACTTGGCACAAACCCTTGGATGAGCTCCATAATGGCCCTCAAGGAACTAAATGAGCTTTCTCAACATCTCATATGCACAATCATGCATTCACAATCCCCTGATGCTCTTCAGTTGGCCTCCAAGTTAAGAGCTGACCCACATACATACATCCTTTCTTTCACAAGACTATTGTCCATTTCCTGATGACTTGATTACCATCCAAACTTGAATAGATCCCCTTGCTTAGGCTCAACCCTACGAGTAGACTCTTCTTGATGTGCACACGCTCTTGATCCCCTGTTCACTAAACTATGCTATGCAATGCAAATGCTAGAAAGAAATGAAATGAAACATAAACCAAGTTAAAAAAGGTTGGGCAAATTTTGGGGTGCAACAACACGATGTATGATGATGATTATGATGATGAGATATGACGTTTGATGATGATGAATATGATAAATGATGATGCACCTATGATGTTGTTATGAGGATGATTTGTGACGTGTGCATCATGTATTCATGTACATTCGGACTTCGGTTCAGGACCTCGATTGCTTTGGCTTCAATCCTATTGTGTGGATGTGAAGTATTTTGATGTGCTCCGGTTCTCAAGTAGAATCGATCCTATTTATGGGGATCTATGGAGGGTTGATGGCCCAGTGTCCATCAAGCTGTGATGATTGGTACCATATGCGTTGAGTCTTGTTGCATTTGCATTTATGAGTCTTTTTGTATGAATTATGATGTTGTGGCCTTCGAGGCCTATTGAGGAATATGAATGTGTTGAATATGATTATGATGCCATTTATATGTTGATTTTATACATTGATTATTATGAATTGTTTTACTCACCCTGTCTGTTTGAATGTTACCTCTACGTGGGTAACGTGCAGATGACCAGGTTTAGCCGTGGACGCCGTTGAGGACTTTTGAAGTTTCGAGTTGTTAGCCTTTGCAGATGACCAGTTTCCAGTTCTGCCAAAGTCTCAAATTTTTGTATAGTTTTACTTTTCATGTTGATGCTGAATTCTGGTTATATTACCTGAGGCAGCAGCCAATTTTGAAGGGATTTTTTGACGATGAGATTCATCACAAAAGACATCCTTGGAGCTTCAATCAGCATGCAGTTCCTCAAAACTGTGATTACTTTGGCCGTGGCGGTGGTTGTGGTATTAATTCTTATACTTACTCACCCTGTATTTTGTTTGGTTTGGTGCTTTGTGTTTATTGTTGCTTTCTGTTGAGTTTTACAGATGTAATTGAAGAAGATGCCTTGAATGTAAGCTAATTTTACTGTTCTTCACACTTGGTCCTAAAATTCTGTTTAACTGTGACATGGAGTTCAGTTGTTTAGTGTTAATGAAATTGTTAACTAGTTAAAGTTAGTGAGAAGCAATTCGTGAGTAGTTAGTCTGTTAATATGCAATGCGAATTTGGTTAGGTGTTAATTCACTTAGTTGATGACTGTAGGTTATGTATTAAGGAACTACTAATTTACATGCTATTTAGTTTAAAATGAAAAGTCAGGAGTTAGTGTCAACTTATGGAATAGGTTCATGTTAGTTATGCAACTAGATCTAATACAGGGATCATTGATTCCAGTTATGTGGAGAGGCGTAGAAGACGCGTTCAATAATACAGAGCTGCTTTTAAATAGCATTGATCTGTAAGGAAATAGTTTAACATGAGAAATACCTAAAGAAATAGGGTCTCTATTGGGATTGGTTTCTTTAAATTAATTTATATCTTGTAAAAGTTGTTGAACCTTTCCAAGTTCCTTCAGTATATAATTGTCTTTCTCTACTCTGAATCAGAACATTTTCAAGGAACAGTTTTGGTGTGTGCTAGGTAGATTGATATTCAATTGCGAAATGTTTGTGTTTTTGCCTTTCGGGGTTTTAATGGAATTTTCACATACAACCATAGTTTCATGTCCTTGATCTGAATCACACCACTGAGGATAAATTAGTTGAGTAATTATATTGAGAATTTGCTTTTGATTGACAAAGCTAATTCACTTGTTTGTTTCAGTGTAGGTGTGGACTCTGGATGCCTCTACAATCTTAAGGCTTTGGCTCATGATATGATAGTTTCACAATTGAAATTATAGGCATGTCAAAAAAGTATTTAAAAAACTTGTGCAAATTGATGCCATTTCCTCTTCATCAAAAAGATTTAATGGTTGATTCTTACATCTTACTTCAGGTAGATGGAGACACAAGTACTAATGATACTGTTATTGCTTTGGCCAGTGGGATGTCTGGGCTAAGCCACATATCTTCTCTAGAAAGTTATGAGGCAATTCAACTTCAGGCATGCTTAGACGCAGTAAGCTTGACCTTATATAATAATGTAAAACTAGAAAGAAAGAAAACATAAAGTACTATGATATACCGTTGTGTTATAGTCCCATTTGGATTGAATGTATTTTGTAATGTGCAGGGGGTGACATGCATAATCTCCACTGCTTTTTTTTTGTTTAATAATAAAGTACCTCATACAGTGGGTTAGCAAAAACATAAAATAAACATAATAAGCACCTCCCCTGCACCCTACTGGTATGTGTTTATTAAGTTATGTTTTTGTGGTTAGTATGCATAACTGGTTGCATTTTGAATGTTATAATTGAATATGATATCTTTCCATGCTCTACTGTTTCCTTCTTTGCAACGAAGTAAATAAAAGATGCTTAAGATTTTCTTTTTGTCATCCTCTCTATCCTTAGATCTTGTCCCGTGATTTCCTTGAGACGTAAAATTTATCGTCCAGAAGTGCTATTCTTTCAATAAATGTGAAATTTTGACTTGTTCTTTCTAGGTAATGCAAGGTCTTGCCAAATCTATAGCTTGGGATGAAGAGGGAGCAACATGCCTCATTGAGGTTTGTTATTTTACACTTGCAATAATACTCCCTCAATCATTCAGTTGGCTAGAAGTTTTTGACTAGAGGTTTATGACCTCTGAGCATGACATGTTGGATCACAAACTGAAATGTAGTGATCACATGTCTTGTGTCAACCATTTTGCATATCTTAGCACCTTCCATAGCTTTACTATTTTGAGGATACCAATAGTTATTTATGCTAATTTGTAGAATATTTGTTTTTCTCTTATTTTAGTTCTTTTGGTAACTTCATACTTTATTGTAATGTAACCATGTCTTCATGTTTTAAATTTTAACATCAGTGTCCTTGGCTTCAAGTCCCTTGCTTCTTGTATTCCCATGTGTTGTCCTTTATATGATGCCTATTTGGCGCAGTTGCTATTAATGCAGCCTGGATGCAGACATACATGAGTGGCGTCTCATGCCCATACGTCTGAGCCAAAGCGCGTCAAGATCATGCTGTTCTTCTAGTTGGTTTTGGAAAAGGTGCTTATGCTCCCATTCGATTGAAGGAAAAGCCTTACTGGATCATTAGGAACTCTTGGGGGCAGAATTGGGGAGAGCAAAGATACTACAAGATTTACAGATGCTGATGTTTATCATTAAGAACTCTAAGTAGTATCAAGAGACTGCCACAATCATGTTATTTTAGTAGTTGGTAATTAATTATGTCGTCCTGTTACCGATGTTGATGTTTATCCTTACCGTGGTGATGTTTATCCTTAACTATCTGTGATTTTTCATATTTTCATTCATGTTGTGTTAACTTGTTCAATATCAATGGTCTTCTTCCAGACTTACACTAGGAATATATTGATTGCAGTGAACCCTTTCATAAGGCTTCCTCATTTAAACACCAGCTTATGTATTTAATCATTATGTATTAAATTAGTCTGTATTTAATTGATATGTATTATGTCTGTTTAAATATTTTTGAGCCTAAATATTGGATAAGTCAATTAACCCGAAATACCAATCCGCATTAACCCAAACCCGTCTAAACCAACTCACGAATCAGGCGAAAATGGGTCTGTTATTACTACCCGCAGTTTGGATTGGGTGAAGGTTTTGGGTGCGAACCCACCCAACCCGGCCCGTTGTCCAGCCCTAATGATGAGCTATGATGACATGATGTATGATGATGATTATTATGATGAGCTATGATGACATGATGTATGATGATGATGAGCTATGACGTTTGATGATGATGAATATGATAAATGATGATGCACCTATGATGTTGTTATGAGGATGATTTGTGACGTGTGCATCATGTATTCATATGCATCCGGACTTCAGTTTAGGACCTCGATTACTTTAACTTCAATCCCATTGTGTGGATGTGAAGTATTTTGATATGCTCCAGTTCTCAAGTAGAATCGATCCTATTGATGGGGATCTATGGAGGGTTGATGGCCCAGTGTCCATCAAGCTGTGATGACTGGTACCACATGCATTGAGTCTTCTTGCATTTGCATTTATGGGTCTTTTGTATGAAGTATGATGTTGTGGCCTTCGAGGCCTATTGAGGAATATGAATGTGTTGAATATGATTATGATGCCATTTATATGTTGATTTTTATACATTGATTATTATGAATTGTTTTACTCACCCTGCCTGTTTGAATGTTACCTCTATGTGGGTAACGTGCAGATGACCAGGTTTAGCCGTGGACGCCGTTGAGGACTTTTGAAGTTTCGAGTTATTAGCCTTTAGTTAACTTAGAGGGTCTTACTCTGATAGTGTAACATCGGGTTGGGTTCTATGTTTTATTTGAGTTATTTTGATTATCTTTCTGTATAAGGAAAACTTTGGATATGCTTTTGGAGTTCCGCTTCCTTTGAGCAATTTTTGATATCTTTTGGGAAAACCCGTTGTACACGGAGCATTGACTTATTTTGAGCTATTGAGAAATGTACACCCTTTGAGGTGATTTTGAGTTAAATATTTTACTCTAATTTATGTGAAAAATGAGCCTTTTAATTGCGGGTAGAAAAGGGTTTTACATATATGGTGACGACCAATCAACAATACCAATAAAAATTGGATTTTAAGCAACGCCAATAACTACTGGACTTTCAGCATATATGGTGACGACCAAATCAACGATAGCAATAACGATTAGATTTTAAGCAACGCCAGTAACCACTGGAATTCAGCAGAGTCGGTTAACAAACGGGACATCGACTGGGGGGATAGATTCAGGTAACACCGGATCTTAAGGATAAGCTGCAACATTAGTAACGACTAAAATTTGGTAACCACCAATTAGCAGTATCAGATAGGAGTCAACGACCAACCTATTTCTAGTCACAACTAGACTTCCCAGTGATATAAGTCTTTATAACAATAATACCTAAGTCGGATAACTTGACAAAGTTAAGGTAACAACCAAAGGGTAATCCCGTGACAACAGTTCTAAAGCAAAGGAGTTTGGTAACAACCAAAGGATCTCAAGATGGTATCCAGTAACTACTGGGGAAGGAACACCCAATCAATTCTTGACAAAGAAAACCGTTCAACTGGATCACAATGGCCACACCCAGAACAAACCAAAACAAGAGGTATGCTGAAAAATGCACATGCTAAAGGTATGATGAAAATGCAATGCCGAACGACTCCGCAGGAGAAGGAAACAAAAGATAGATAACGATCTATCACACCTGAGGCAAAAAGAATCACACTGAATCCCAACGTTGGAGAATGGTCTTAATCCTCTAGAGAGGAAACGATCCCTGTTCTTGCAAGCTTGCCGGAGAGAGGTCACAACTTCAATACATCAGACAAAATAACTAATCAGAGATATCAAAACTTCGTAGCGCGGTGGCGTGGGGAAAGAAATCTCTACAAACCTCATATTGCTGAAATGATGGTATCAAGGTTTCAACCGTTCTGTTCTTATGAGAGGAGTCTAATTTTACACTGTCATGTCACAATCAATGTTACAACTTGTTTGTTAATTAACTTTCTCCAAAACAATTCTTTGTTTCAAAAAACTTTTGCCTTTAAAAATCATTATTAACGAATAAGTGATGTTTTTGCATAACAAAAAGGTAGGGAAATCAATAGGGCATAAACAAAGATTGGTCCAAATCTAATTTCATTCAAAGATAGAGACTTGCAAAAGGAAAAGTCCCATTGAACATTTACAATTAGGAAAAATGGCAATATGGGAAAAGGTTACAAAATCCAACGATAATTCAGTCCTAACTAGCTAAGAGTCCCTCTAAACCGCTGCCTCTGGTGAGAGTAGAGGAAAGTGAGCCTCTTTGACGACCTTTTGCAGTAGTGACAACTCCTGATGCAATGAAATTCCTTTGTCCCTAACTTTTGCCTGAATCGCCCTTTCGGGTTTTCGATTCACAAGGATGCTCATTTTTGTCTAAGCCGCCTTTTTAGGTTTCTGACTTAGCGAGCTTTTCTTTATTTTATCCCTAATTTTTGCCCGGATCTCCTTCATAGGTTATGATCCACTAGGATGCCCTTTTTTTTCCTAAGTTGCCTTTCCAGGTTTTCAACTTAACGGGTTTTTTAGGCATAATATTTTCTTACTGCATCTGAGTTCACGGGACGTTGGAGCTATTCACCGTCTATCGTCGCAAGGATAAGAGAGCCTTCAGAAAAAACCGTCTTCACAACAAATAGGCCATCATAATTTGGCATCCATTTTCCACACATGTCTCGCTGCATCGGTAGAATCTTCTTGAGTACTAACTCACCCTCTTTATATTCTTTGACCTGGACTCTTTTGTCGAAGGCTCTTTTAACTTTCTTCTGATATAGCTGACTGTGGCACATTTCCATCATCCTTTTCTCGTCAATGAGATTCAGCGTATCAAACCTTTCTTTCACCCACTCAGCTTCTTCGAGCTCGGCTTCCATTAAGACCCTTACTGAAGGTATCTCAATCTCAATAGGCTACATCCGTCCCGTAAACCAGGGAGAAAGGGGTTGCCCCTATTGAAGTGCGAACAGATGTTCTATATCCATGTAAAGCAAATGATAGCATTTCGTGCCAATATTTGTAAGTTACTACCATTTTCTACACAATCGTTTTAATGTTTTTATTTGCAGCTTCAATAGCTCCATTCATCTTGGGCCGGTAAGGAGAAGTGTTGTGATGTCCAATCTTGAAACTGTCACAGAGCTCCATCATTATTTTATTGTTCAAATTCATCCCATTATATGTAATGATCTGGTTAGGGATTCTGTAATGATACTTAATCTCCTTTTTAATGAACCGGGAAACCACTTGCTTCGTTACATTCGCATATGAGGCAACTTCCACCCATTTTGTGAAATAGTCGATGGTGACTAGGACAAACCGATGACTGTTAGATGCTTTAGGCTCAATTGCCCCAATCATATCAATGCCTCATATTGAGAATGGCCAAGGTGACGATAATATGTTCAGAGGATGTGGTGGCACGTGCACCTTGTCTGCATAAATCTGGCATTTATGACATCTTCGGGAAAATAGGATACAGTCGGTCTCCAAAGTCAACCAGTAATAACCAGCCCTCAAGATCTTCTTTTCCATGGCATGGCCGCTTGCATGAGTACCGAAGGCACCTTCATGAATGTCTGTCATTAACATGTCTGCTTCTTTACTGTCAACACATCTGAGTAAGACCATGTCGTGATTTCTCTTGTATAGAACATTATTGCTAATGAAGAACTTGGATGACAATCTTCGCAAAGTTCTCTTATCAAGTTTATAGGCGTCGGCAGGATATTCTTGACTCTGAAGGTAATTTTTGATGTCATAAAACCAAGGTTTTCCATCAGACTCTTCTTTAGGCATCATGACGTACGCTGGCGTAGTCTTTCTTTCAATGCTAATTAGGGGAGCTTCGTTGACAAACTGAACCTTCCACATAGCAGCCATCATAGCTTGAGCATATGCTATGTGTCTTTCGGATCTTGGGATGTGTTTGAAAGTGATTTCGTCAAAATACTCGATCATCTCCAAAATATAGTCCTTGTAAGGAATCTGTTTTTCATCTCGGGTCTCCCATTCACCCTTGAGCTGATAAATTACCAAGGCAGAGTCACCAATTAC